TAATTTAGGGCCGGGTTTTTGTGAAAATTTTACGTTGTTTAATATTGGGTCAGTTCAATGGACTGAGCCCATGTAAAATCGATTAGGATAATGCTCAAAAGCCAAATGTGAAATGTTTGAATTGGTTTTAAAGATTCTAAAACTGAAGCAGGATAGAAAATTTTATAATGTCTTGATTTTGTTACAAATTATTTTTCATTTAACTATCAAACTTTTGGAATATTGATCTTTGTTGTACTTTTATAATAATACCAATATTATTTTGGGTATTTTTGTACAGGTTTACCTGTGATGTATCTTTATTCAGTTTCATGTGAAAGTTTGATGGAGGCCAGATACAATTATAGATGCATTAAAATTATACAAAGTTGTAGTTACAACTATGTTTTTGGTAATATTAATAGTTTATTATGAGTGAAGTTTTTTTATGCTAGGAGCTGCTATATTTTGAGAAGCTAGTAAATGTAATATATATTCTTTTGGATAGCAAAATTATTCAGCCAATTTTATGAAAGATGTATTATCATTTATGATTTGTGAAAAACATTTTCAAAGAAATTTATAAAAATATAGCAGTCAAATTGTGCATATATATTTATTCCATAAAAACACTGATATGTTTCTCTGTTTCTAATTTAGGTTTTGAGATATGTGTTTCAATACACCCAATTTTTAAGTGTCTTTGTATATAAAAATATTTCTTATCAAAACTGTCTTTCTGCTGCCAGAAATTTACTGGGCATGCCACAGAAGTCCTTCGATTAATTCCTGTCGTATTTCCTGGAGAAAGTTCATTGGAAGGAAGCTACTTTGTGTCTATAGCAGCAAATGACAGATTAATCAATGCATGGTTAGCATATTTTGTTATGTGTTCTTTATTTTTATATTCAATAAAGTTTTCCTTTATCATAGAATCACTAATCTTTTCTCAAGCAACATTTATGTAATAACACAACCATGTTTTCCAACCATTAGTTCATACTTTTAAACTATGTGTCATTAATTATTTCACTCGTTAATTTACTTCCCGACATGTACTTTTTTGAACTATTACATATATAGCTAGTTATCTGTTGAGGAGCTCTCTATCAGAATTTATGAGAGAATTTTAATGACAAGAAAAAATTCATTCTCAATGAACTTGAACTTTTTTATTATTTTAAAAGTCAAGTTTATTTATGTATTTTATCTTTTGGCAAAAGATTCTTTCATAAATTTTTCCATTCCATTTTGTAGTGTTTAGATATTCTAATTAAGTACAACTATAAACTGTTTTATTGTAACACTTCAGTTTTTAGTTGTAATCATTTTGAAGTGTTTTATCATCCTACAGAAAAAAATCATGTTTAGAACATGCTTGATCATATAAAATAAAAATAAATTTTTTTTTTTAATTTCCTGTTTTTACTCAGTATTTGATACTAGCTTGTATCCCATCAAAAATGATGGGACAAGCACTGTCACATTTCATAGCTAATTGAAATTTTGTGAAATCAAGCTTGACAAAAAAAAAGAGACAGAAAAGTGCAGTCGAGGCAGTCAAATGTTGGTAAATTCATTTGAGCCAATCAAAATTAAGATCATTCATGAAATAAAATTGTGGCATATTCATAGAAAAATTTTTGGTAAAAATCAGTTAAATTAACTTCTAATATATATAGAAAAGCCAGTGCATTTTGGTGACACCATTCCAACAATGGCTTTTATGTCAGGTTGCTTAACAACAAAAGTATAAAATGAAATGTATAGAAAACAAAACTAGAAAAATATTTGTTGATTTCGTAACTTAGAATCTCCGTTGATTAAAGAGTTTTGTTTTTTATTAAAAACGTTGTTGATATAATAGAAAATAGTTTAATTCAGAAATGATTTATGTTGAAAATTGAATCGATATTTTTACTTTCTTGATAAATTTTATGCACTTGGCTCTAGGCTAGGTGATCCCACACTACATCTTTACTTTAGGCTTATTATACTAACACTCACTACACTTATATGGTTTCATTTCACACACACTCCCCTCCCTCTGTCACGGTCCCGTTGCAACCTCCATAACTAAAATCATGATGGGCAGACAGTAATTTGTCTATTTTATCTGGATAAATGCATTTTGGCTTTTATGACTCCTCCTCGAGAAATCAAGCAGGACGTGACGTAGCACACTCTGGCTTTTATATAAGTTAGATGGCTTAAAAATAGAAATAAATAACTAATTTTCTGTATTTTTTGTTCTGTTAAAATCCCAAACAGAGAAACTTTTCTGACACTGATTTAGTAGAAATGTAAAGGATTTAATTATGCTTAGTGAAGTAAAGAGATTGTTCTGATACTGTATGTGAAATTTCCAGTGACTTTATAAATTCTTTAAACCGTTTGTTGATATGACTTAACTTATTTTTGTAATGAAAATTGATAAAGCTTGACATTAATATGTATGATATTAAAACAAATTATTTCTTTTCAATTTATGAACAGTAGAGAAAACTAAGTTTCACTTAGCTGAATTGTAGCTCATTCAGTGTAGCTTTTTTTAGATTAAATATCATACATACTAATTATTTTGCATTAATTGCAGGCAGTTGAAAAAAGACAAAGATATCCATGCAGCAGCAGCTTTCACAGTAACAGAAGAACCTACCAACATAGATGTGAGCAACTTAAAATCCAGAGATCAGGTATGAATGTTTGAAATGAAGATATTTTCTATGCATTTTAATTCTGTTTTCTTTTTACCATGGAAAGGCCTTAAATATCTAGTAGGTAAAGGCCGATAAACTTTTTATTTTCTCTAGAGGTTAAAATACAGTTTTACTTCTCTAAAAATCCCTGCTAGTACTTACTCATTCTTTTTTCTATGGTTTGTGTAATTCATTAGGTGAAACAAGATGCATAACATTTTAAATGGTTTATACATCAGTATCTTTTATCATTGATGAATAAATCATGACTTCTAGATTTTGTTTAAATGTTTTATGTCATCAAAGAATTCTTTAATTTTTTTACAAATTGAACTTCTTTTCAAAATAGACCAAATTGTTATTTCCACTTCCATCATTTAATTTTCTGGATTTATGTGAATGACATATTTACAGCTTTTAATAATGTGATTGTATTAACAGCTTCTTTCAAATTTAATTCATCTCAACATTAACAGTTAAAAATTATGTTCATGGTAAGATTTAATTTTGTAAAATTTCAGTGGAAACAAAGACAATGAATTTGGCAACTCCATTTTTTATGAGGACACAAACTTTGAAGTTTATGTTAATTTGGATTCCTTCGATGCTCCTAAGAAAAAGTAGAAATCATTAAAATACTTTTATATATGAATTTCTTTGTTGAATTTCATGTAAATCTACTTGAGGGCTGGTCTGCATTAGCCATCCCTAAAGTTGAAAAGTTAGGCTAGAGGGAATGAAGCTAATCAATACCACCCACTACTAACTCTTGGGCTACTCTTTTACCAACTAATAGTGGGATTGGCCACCAAATTTTAACACCTACATGGCTGAAATGGTGAGCATGTTTGGTAATAGGTTACAAGATTATGAATTGAGAATTCTAATTACCAGCCCATATTCTACATACTTAAAGATATTTGATCATTTCAACAGACTTTTCTAATTGAGATAAATGTTAAAAAATCTCACCTCATTCCACAAAAAATATTTTTCAAAAGTGATAAATAAAACCAAATCATCCCTAGAAAATGAAATAGGGGTTGAAGAGGCAAGCAATAATAGTTTTGAAAGCCTTCCCCCAATTATTATGTGTTGTTGAACAACCATAAACTTTCACATACTATCCAGAAAATATTATCAAAAACTGTTAAAAAGTGTGATATTGATTTCAACGTGAAATTTTCTTTTTTTATAGAGAAGAACTTAGGTCAGTTTCTGTCAAAAACATTTGCTGACAGTGATAAATAAGGATCAGTGTATCAAATTAAATGTTAAGACTGATAATTCTTATATTGGAAAAACTAATTCCGATACAGTACATTACCTCTTCTCACATAAATAGCTATTATTGTTCAGTGCTGCCCTGTATATGCAAAATTTTTTGTGCATGTCACAAGCCTTGAAGCTCCCACCCATCTGGAATTGACTGATTTCAATGCATCTCGCATGCAAATCATCATGTGACAATGCTCTACCAATAAGAGTGCAACATATTATCTTGAAACATGTGACTCCCTCTATTCAATTCTACCAAACTATCACTTTGAGTTTGGCAGTTGTAATGTATAGTTTGTGTTTTATTTTAATTTTTTCTGTATCTTTGTATTCATTTCTCTCAATAAGTTTACTCTTTATTATACAGTAGTTATATTTGTATCTTGTTGAGTTAATCTGAAGTTGGATTATGTTATATTTCTACCCAGTTAAGGAACTTATTACTTCATTAGAAAAACTTTTTTTTTATTTCTACCAACACAATTGTGTTTGAATATTCATTTTGCATTATGAATTCTACGTCCCCACTTCAGATGTTATATGTTCTACCAGCAAATTTATATAAGCTTCAGGTCGCGGTAAGATTTACAGCTTTACTTTGTCAGGAGAGTGATCATCCAATGAGCTGACCTTCTTCACGCCTTGTCTCGAGTTTGGGGGCCCACACGTTTTGACATACAGTCTGCTGACTTTGTAAAGATAAGACATTATTATACTATTATGGTTTTTTAATAATTTTATTTTTTAATATTATTCTCTGTAGTTGTTTGAGTTGTATAACATAAGTTTCATTATATTGGTTGATACTCATGGTCCAGTTGAGGCTAGAAATTAGACTTAGTTGTATCTTTTTTTCCTATACCACTGATACCAAGGTTCTTTGTTATTTTAGGATTACCTGTAATTCATCTTACTGGTATATCAATCATTCTTTTAACTATATTATTTTTCTTCCATACATCATGTCTCATACATAGGTTATTGTTCATACATACTTATATCATTTTTGTTATTATTTTTCTTTTATAATTCTTCATATTAACTTGGTTTGTTTGGAAACTGTGAGCTGGGGTCCACACTAACTTCTCCCAATATTGCACATACTTATGGTTAGATTAAGATTTTTATCTTTAGATCTTAATTATATCCTTTGTCTTGCACTGTTCGATTAGGCTTAACACTTGTCTGTCATTTCCGGTTTACCTGTATTTCTACTTATGAGTTAATCATTAATTATGTTTAATACCTTGTTAACTTAGGCTTCATAAGTGTCTGTTGATTTCGGTTTACCTGTGGTTATACTTTCTGGTTAATCGGTACCTAAGTTAACTATTTTGTTTCTTCAACACATAACAAGAATTACTAAGTGCTTTGCTTGATTTTGGCAATCATTTAAAACAAAAACAAACGTAACCTTTGTGATCTGTGAAATGTGTGTTGTGGTAAAATTGGAACTACATAGTGGAGAAACTCTCTTAGTGGAAATTCCCATTTTCTGTTACTTATATTAATTATTGCCAATTTTGTAGGCATAGTTTGCCATCACGTGCATGGGCTGCTGTGATTGATCAATGCAGAATGTAGGTTAAAGGAATTTAGGCCAAACCATGATGCCATTGAATCTAGAATCTCACAGCTGTGAAAGCCATACTGACAACAACAAAATATATGAAATATAATTGCCCAAGTAATTTCTAATAATTATCAATATTGAAACATAAGTACAGAAAAAATGCTTTCACTATATTTATTACAATAAATAATTGAGGTAATTAAGAAAACATTCAGTAATATTTCTCAATATTATTAATTATTAGGTCGTCAAGAAATTAATGTCGCATTTTGGACACTTTCATTAATCACCCCCCATAAAACGTACGTCACGTATAATAGTTAAATGAACTGTGTAAATGTCACATTAGTGTAGCCTACATAATGTGTAAAATTTAGTATACTTTATTCCTTTATAGTGATGGCACACGACAAGATACACATTTGGCATGTAATGCTGTTTGAATACAAAAAGGGAAACAACACCTCTGTAGCCACAAAGAATATCAAAGAAGTTTATGGAAATGTTTTGAACATTCATAAGTGTCAATGATGGTTCAGCAAATTTTATTCAGGTGACTTTAGCCTTAAAAATTGTGATGGCAGGGGCCGACATGTTGGAATTGATATTGATGCTCTGAAGACGCTTGTTGAGTGTATCTAACCCAAGGCAACACACTCATGAAGTGGCCCTGAAATTGTATCTCTTATGAAATAATACGTAAACATCCTGAGGCACCCAAACACCTTCTTTAAGGAGTTTTCCCATATTCCTTCGGACTCCCCGATGATCATCGTTTGCAACGTTTGAACGTTGCTTCGTCTCTTAAACCACTTCCGACCCCAAAACCTGGGCTCCGTCCGCAAAAAGTGATGCTTTGCATTTGATGGGACATCAAAGTAGTAATTCATTTCAAACTCCTCAGTCAACACCGAACTGTCAATGCATAGATCTATAGTCAGCAACTGGTACGTTTAACTCAGCCCGTCAATCGGAAAGATGTTCTTCTCCACAACAATGCACGTCCACATGTGGCACGTTTGACACACCACAAGATTATGGAGTTGGGCTGGGAAGTTCTCCCCCAGCCACCATATTCTCAAGATATGGCACCATCAGATTACCATCTTTATCGTTCGCTGCAACACCATCTTAATGGGAAAATGTATGCAAATGTGGAAGGTGTTAAAGAGGACATCGTGTTTTTTGCTTCAAAGCCAAGTGATTTCTTTAATCAGGACATTAACAACCTGATTGCAAGATGGAAAAGTATCATCGATAAGAATAGACAATATTTCATTTAATAAATGTTTTCTTTTGATATACAAGTTGTTTGGGTTTTTTCATATAAAAAGCGACAATTTCTTAAAGACCTAATATATCATTCATATGTTATCAGTGTGTGAAGTGTTTTAAAGTGATTATACACAGTTAGTGATCACTAGTCACTAGACTGAACATCAAGAAATATAAAAACTGTTTACTCAAAAGTGTAAAAATCCTCCAACTAAAAAAATAAAGGTGAAAAGACAAGGATCTTAAAGTAACTTACAATGTACTTTAGATTAGCTTGAAATTTCTTACATGACGAATTTTTTTTGTTTATGTTTCATTGCCATTATTTCTGAACAGTTTTAAACAAAATTTTTAAATCTTAGTTTAACAATTATTAAATATATTAGAAAATTAAGTTGTCACAGATTCTAATTTTTACATCTGTTTTTCTTTTAAAGAATACATATTATAAATGTATTACTAAATGTATTGCACTTGAAAACAATAAGTGTCAGCCTTTGTTTCTTCTATTACAATACCAA